CGCCCACTCAAGAATGACAAACGACGGAATAATTTTGTACTTGCAGAGAGCCAACGTGCTTACAGGTTCGTCCAAGGTAAAGATTGGGGTTTTAAGAAATTCATTAGAAGAGATTTCTTGTTGGACGAAGCCAACGGACTCTTGCCCGACGACAAACTCACGATATTCTGTGAGGTATATACCTTTGTATGTTACATACCTCGATATTTGTACGATTATTGCCAAGCCGTTTGCCGCGGACGAGATCTAACCAGGCGGGCATGTTGCAGGTGAGCGTGGTGGCGGACAGCGTGAACATTTCCGGGCAAAGCAACACCATACAGTTCAAAGTTCCCGAGTGTCGATTGCCGGACGACCTCGGGCTTCTGTTTGAAAACCAAAAATTCAGCGACGTCACGCTGACGGTGTGCGGGAGGGAATTTCAGGCGCACAAAGCCATCCTCGCAGGTAAAAACGAAAACTCATTCTCTCTCTCTCTCTCTCTCTCTCTCTCTGTGCGTGCTTCCGCTACTCCTCACGAGAGTATTTCCGTGTATTTTGTTTCTACAGGAAGGATGATGGTTCCTTCAGAACGCCGGATAGATCTTTACATTTTGTGATTTTGTTCCTCAGCGCGAAGTCCCGTTTTCTCGGCGATGTTCGAGCACGAGATGGAGGAGAGGAAACAGAACCGCGTGGACATCACCGACGTGGACCATGAGGTGCTGCGAGAGATGTTACGGTTTATATATACCGGGAAGGCCGCGAATTTGGAGAAAATGGCGGACGATTTGCTAGCCGCGGCGGATAAGTACGCGTTAGAAAGGTTGAAGGTCATGTGCGAGGAAGCGTTATGCACGAGTTTAGCGATCGAGAACGCAGCTGACATCCTGATCCTCGCCGATCTTCACAGCGCCGATCAACTCAAGGCACAGGCCATAGATTTTATTAACACGTGAGTGAATTAAAGCCTCTTCTTAACAGCGTGTTTATCGAGTTGATCGGTATATATAACAAATTTATAATTGCGCCGATAAAAAGGATGTGCTCTGATCGATAATTTGTTCGATCTATGTTTCAGACACGCGACAGACGTGATGGACACGGCTGGTTTTAAGTCAATGGTGAACTCTCATCCGCACCTCATAGCGGAAGCGTTTCGGGCGTTAGCCACCCAACAAATTCCACCGATCGGACCGCCCAGGAAGCGAGTGAAACAGAGCTGAAAACAGTCACCGTTAACACCGGGAACGACCTCCACATCGCCCCCGCCTATTTTACATCCTTCGTGACTTCTTTTTGTGTACAGTGATACAAGTAGTGCTAAATAAATGTTTCCTAGTGCGCCATTTCCTCTGGCCCACTTGAGAAGGAACCGCGACGGAGAACTCTGTTTCCTCATGGGTTTCGACCATGTCATAAATGCTCTTCGAGCAAGATTGTTCGAAGTCGCGAATTCGAGAAAAACACAGCGCACCTCGAAGCGGAGTTAACGCGATTAACTTACGGTTACAGACTTTGTTGCAATTCGATGAGATCGTCGACGTTGAAAGGAAACCTATCACACGAAGGGAGGAAAAAGGAGAGCGGACACGTGTACGCGTGTATATTGAGAAATCATTCGGGAACGGCTAAACCACGATGCGTTTGTCCCGGCCAGTTGATACTGGTTTGAAAAATTTCTGATGCTTCGCACTGTACGTTAAATCGTTACGTTCTCGTGCGTGAGAGGGGCGAACATGTATTTCCATCCACCGACACATGCAAAGCGCAACTATGTCAGCGACTTGTCAATGCGCATCATTAGGGTCTCAACAATGGATTTGCTTTTTCGTTCTTCGTTCGAAGCGCGCGGACCATCTTACGCATTATGAGAAAAAGACACCGCAGAAAAAAAAAAAAAAAAAAAAAAAAAAAGAAGCAGCCAGAGGACCAAGGCGAGATTGAAACTCGCTGAAATCACACACGCATATATACACTCACACGCCAAGAGAAAAAGATACACACGTGATGCACGGAAGAAGTTGTGATAGAACGCCGTTCAGGCGATTGAAACAAAAAGATTTTGTTCCTTTGTTGAAAAGAAAAAAGAAAAGAAAGAATCAAACGAAATGTCCCAACACTTGTTCGACGTGTACGCAAGTGACGAGAATAAAAATAGATATGTTTATTACCGATATAGTGATTTTTTTAGTTTTAAATGGAAAATGAAAAAAAAAAAAAAACAAGGAAAAACGAGAGCGTCGAATTCTTCCAACGAAGAAGAAATGATTCTAGTTAGTGTTTTTTATGATCTCTTTCTCTCAGCATGTACGACTACAACTATGATTACTATTAATGCTACGCAATCTGTGCCCCGTTCTTTTCTTTTTTTTTTTGTTTTTTTTTCTTTTTTTTTTTTTTTAATCTGCAAATGTCCCATCCTCTAATTCCCATCTCTCTGATTCCTATCCTCCTTTATCGGCTAGGCACAGTTTGTTTTGTTTTCTCGAGTATTGCATAGTACACGAAGTGATAGATTCGAATTATATTATTATTATTATTATTATTATTATTATTATTATTATATTATTATATTATTATTATTATTATATTATTATTATTATTATATTATATTAAATTTAGGGTTGTCCATAATTTATCAAATTTTATGTTGATTATTATTGAAATGTCTATCATACTCGTACGCAGGATGCATGCATTAATTAGAGATGTTGCAAGAGTTGTATTAAACGAAGAGTGAAGTCAATGAAATACGTTATCAACAAAATCGAAATAACGAACGAAAAATACTGAAAGAAAAAAAGAGAGAATTAAGTGAAACTGTATAAAAAAAAATAAATAAATAAATAAAAAGGTTAGTCAATTACATAGTACGAGAATAATAATCGTTTTTCGTGTAATTAATTATCGAAATCGCAAAATCGTGTGGTCAATGATGTGAATTATGGGCAACCGGCAGAATACGCAAAACAATAATCATCATTTAGTACCGTACTGGCTTCCTGATCCTCCGACCTAGCTTTACCGAACGTTTTAAATACGAGATATAAATACCTACCATTACAAAGGATCGAAGATTTAATGCCATACATGTTCTGTGATAAGACCACTGTAATTAACCGCAATTGTATCACAACCTTTTTAGAACTTTCTGACGATCCTGGCAGCCAGTGAATTTATCTTTTAAGGAAACGGTCGCTATATCCGGACAGTCCCAAATCTAGCGTCCCTTTCGATTTTAAGGTTTTTACTGTACATATCTACTGTATTTTATAAGAACTGAACAGAAATGGAACCATAACTTTTAATGAAGGGTACAATAATCAACTATAATTTATTCTATTTTACAGACTGTGCTAAACTCATGTTCCTTGAAACACACTAGCAATGCTTTAAGTAAATGTAATGTAATTACGACAAATTCATACGATTAGATTATATATGTGTATCTCGTTTTTTATCTCGACACATGCATACTGTCGTGCCGTCGTAATGTATTTCTGTCGAGATTAAATGGAATAATTAAAAAAGAGGAAAAAGAAAAAAAAAAGAAAAAAGAAAGAAAATAAAGGAACTCCTACGGAAACATAGTTAGGGAAGGTTTTTCCACCGTTTTTTACACGATGTTTATTTCAGTCGTAGTAGGTAGTTAAGGCTTACAAATGATGAAACGAAAATAAATGGAAAATAAAAGCAAAAGGAAACAATGAAACATGTAAGCGGTTTAAGGAACAGATTTTGGCCACGTGTGCTCGCTCAGATTTTAAAGATGATAAACAGAGAAGAAAAAAAAGAAAAAGGAAAAGAACGAAAAAAATTGTCTACGTCCATTCTACTACCCATGTTCTATCTTTGGGACTGTGCGGCGAAAAAAAAAAAATATCTCATGAAACTCGTAATGTTGAATGTCTTTTTCCTAAAAACGGAAAACTAAATATTAATACCGTACGACAGTTCGAAAAAACATTAGATGCAATTCTTTTTGAACCAATCTGCATGAGCGTATGACTGGATAATTTTATAAACTAAGTACAAGTAAGACAAGTGTTACCTCATCATGAAAACCAGCATGTTCGTGTCGTACTAGCTACTACTGCGCTGCTGTCTGATACACTTCCATTGTATATTGCATTTAAACCCGAAGAAAACAAAGAAAGCTTTTTGTAACGAATAGTTCAGCAGTGGTAGCTTTTCGAAGTACGCGACTGCTGTTCATCGAACCCAGCTCATATAAACGTTCATTTTTCCATTTACTTTAAGTCATTGCACCACATCAAATAAATGACATTTTCATTATATAATCATGAGAATTTTACGTGATTTTCATTATCCCCTAATGTCTTGCTTTTATTTAATAAGAACGTCTCGATGTGTCGGTAGATCAAAAATATACATGAAAAAAATAAGGACAAGTTAACACTGTTAAAGAACAATGATATAGATTCGTATTAAAAATATTTTTATTGCTTATACAAGATAAAAATCTCGTCTAGATATTTTGTCCAAATTTATGTTTCTTTCTTTTAATCGACTAAGATTACACTAGATAGAAACAAGTACATAATACGCATTAAATATGATTCGTGGTCGGAAACGTTTGATTAGCCTGATGTGATGAGTGCGTAGTTTCTGGACGAACCGATGGTGATTCATATACCTAGAAAATGAGTAAATACAACACGTATTATACGAGAAAATTAGATTTTTATCTTTTATTATCTGATAATGTGTAAAAGATAGTAGAAATGATTGCACATTGAATATGCGCAATTATTTTTTATATCTTTTTTTTCACTTATTTTACTTTTTTTCTGTTTTCATTATATATTTCGAACAGAGATAAACATACCTTGTTGAAGGGGGATTTATAAGGAGATGCAGCGCAAATTTCATTGTAAGATGGAGGTCTGTCCAGTGATGGTTCATGAACTGAATTAGATTGCAATGTCTGATTGCAAACTCTGGGGTGTATAATATATCCAGCATTGTACTCTGAATAGCTCGGGTCAGATCTCCTGTAAAGTTTTACTAACCGATAAGCAGCACCAACAATTATTATTTTCACTTATTTATTAAACAGATAAAATAAGTAATAACTCCAAAATTCTGTTAGAACTAGATTACTAAATTATTTACAGCATGATTCATACCTGGTACAAGTTTTGTAAATTATTAAAATTATCATTGTGATGAAAACAAATGCTATTAATGCAAACATGAATGTTTGTATTGTGTCTGATCTTTCCTTGTTTTTATTCCTAAAAAAGATATTGATTGATTCCATAATGTACATACAGCAGATATACAAGTAAAAAAAATGCTCTTACCAATCTTAAAATTACAATCAATGTAATTTACATGCAACGGAATAGAGATTGAAGTGTCCCCAGAAAAAAAAAATATAAAAATAGAATGAATTTGAGGCTATTATTTTAATATTTTAATAAGCTTACCTTCGCATACACTTATACAGGATGGTGATGTACATTGGTCTGTTCAAACAATAATAGCTTTTTAGCATACATGTTTCGTTAGTTTATAATAGACAATTGAAATATTTTAACAAAATAAAATATACACCTGCACAACTCATTGTGTGAATATGTTAAATATGAAGAAAAACAGGAAAATTTGTGCCACTGAAAATTTACAATTTTATATATATAAAATATATTAATGTCACATTGTTCTTCAAATATAAGAATCTAATTTATTAACACAACACGACATTCAACTGAATAATTTCATTACACCATAATTTCTTTAACTTTTGTTATTGTTACTTAGAAAAGAATAGTTGAATCGTAAATCATTCAATCTTTTGCAAACAGTTAAATACATTGTTTTAAGCTAAAATATCAAGAATACCTTATATGTATATAACGATAGCAATCTTATCAAGTGCTGACACCCTGATAACATGTACAATCAACGTTTTAATTATTTTATTCACAACCTCTTAATGTATTTTCATCATTATATCTTTAAGAAATGATATAAATAGGTACATGAATAAAAAAAATGGTGTATATATATACATATGTATATATATGTATGTGTATATATATACAAGATCACTTATAGTATATTTTGTAATATACATGAATAAATTATTAATAATCCAGTTATAACAATTCCTAAGATCGTATAATTTACAATAAAATTGAGACTTATGCGAATGTCTGTTTGAAGTTAATGCTGTACATCTAATTTGTTAAAGTAATTAATGCCTCTACAACATTTCCTCTATGTTCCCTGAGTGTTTGTTCCGCTACATTTCGATTTATTTCCATTTCTTTCATCTGAAACGGAGCGAATGTTTCATTAGTACAACAAAATATCCAATGTAATGAATAGGTGAAAATTAATTAAACACGAATATCAGTAATTTGTTGTAAATATCTTACAATAAGATCTACGTCTTCTTTTTTTATAGGAACTTTTAGCAATTCCTTCTCTCTCGCCTTCTTTTCCGCAACTTCTTTATTCCGTCGATCTCCGATTATGCTTAATGCCTGTAACACACAAATCAAACATGATGATTGCCACTCACTCAGTTATGTGTATACAATTTTTTATAGGTTAGGTTTCGCAATTACGTGTTTCTGAACAATCTAATCTATGAGAATTAACGCATATTCAGCAGAGGAAACGGTAAAATTGATGTAAAGAATATAAATTTTCATCGTTGCCAAAAAAATTTAACAAATGTTAACAACTACAAACACGTGGAATAGAGGACAATAAAAGTATTTACACAAGAGAATCCATCGGACGAGGATATTTCTTTCTCCTCTGCATAATCTGTAACTTTCTCTAAATCTGCCGCTCCGCTATCGTGTTTCGCCGTTTTTTTCTGTGATTTTTCTTGCTGCACTTCGTCAGAATCACCGTTTACATCGTTATCCGCCATTTTTCCCTTTTTTAAAACTTACTTCATACTTGTAGATAATCATCTTACGTGCACCAACTACGTACGTGCGATAACTTCACAGTATAAGATTTAATCTCTTGAAAAATTTTCGAAACAATAATTTGTATCTCAGTTGTTATTATGAATAGTAAGATATTTTTTTAAAAAATATATTGTTTAACAAATCATTGTAAATGCTAATAGGTTTATGCTTGCGATTTAAATTATGTTATTGCGATCTATCGACATAAAGCTTGCCCTTGCTCTCCCGCATTTGAATATATTTCCTTCGATGAAAGTTATTAAATTATTGATAACTTTTGAGTTAGAGCATTATTCCCCTATTCATTAAAATATATGTAATTTTTTTATGGGATTGCATGAAATCAAGGATGTAATTTAGATGAAAAATCTAATGCGCATAAACCAAAAAAATTGCTATTATTATACAATAACGACCTTGTTAATATTCAATTAAGCACGTTTTTTTGTGTACAAAGAGACAAGATCATTTTGAACAATTTGTATAAACTAGTCTGAATGAAAATATAAATCAATATGAAAAATAATTTGAAATAAATGGTTATCATAATAAAAGTTAAATAACTTGGATATATCTGATTACTTGCAGCTCCTACTACATATATCTCACATTAATTTAACTTATTTAAAAATCACTTTAAGTATCCTTAATATTTCATTAATTTTTCGACGAAATAATTCTCAGCGAGAATTCGGCGAGATAATTGCAAAGTATATTGAGAAATGCTAGCTTATTTTATTATAAATCAAATACACAACGCAGATCAAGTAAATTAAACATAAAAAATAATTTAAATGATTATACAGGTTTTTAATTAAATAAGTGCTCAGAGAAAGATATATCTTGAATTGAGAAAATTTAATACCATTAAGTTTAAACAAAATAATAATAATTTTAATACAATTTAATCGCGAAAATTGTATACATATATATTGACAGCATGGTGATTTTAAGATTACTTAAGTTATATATGTACATGGAACATAACCTAATCATTGTGTTAAACCAACACAGACAATCTTTGTTTATTATTTTTGTGAAAAATCTGTGAAAATTTGTTTCTTTTTGTTTTCTACATTTATATAAGAAAAAACTATTGAATAATTTATAATTATGACAGAGACATCGTTCACTAAGCCAACGAACGATTCTCAATTCCTTCGAAATGAACCTGTTAATTATTCCATCGGTATTTCAATCTTCCACTAGAAATATTTGAAATTTTGAACTTTTGTTTTCGAATATTATAAGAATGGGAATAATGTTTTACAGAAATTCGACAAATGATGCATGGTTTCGGGGACAGCAGTGAACCGTTAATTGAGTCTGCGAAAATCATAGAAGAAGTTGTTTTGCAACAAATGAGGTCAATAATTAGGAAAGCTTGCGAGATTTCTGAAAAACGAGGCAATTCTAAGAAGACTGTCTGTATCTCTGCCGAAGATCTAATCTTTTTACTACGCAAAAACAAAGTGAAGCTGCAACGTCTTTTAAAATATTTAGGCAAGCTCGATGTGATCATTGAAAAATTTGGTTTTTATATAATATACGCATGGATACTCATTTAGCAATATTTTGTAGAATTAAAAGAATTTAAATCCTCTATACACAAGACGATAGACAGTGATTTACCCGAGGATATTACACAAAATGAAAATACTAATGGATCAAAGAAGAAAGGGCCATTTCACAGTTTCCTCTCTCAAATTAATAATACTGGTGAACTTTTTGAAGATGCATCTACTATAGATGAAATCAAACAACAAAGATGCATTCGTGCTGAAATTATGACAAGATCTATGGATGAAGCCAGATATTTGAAGTTTAGTAAAGCACGCAATGCGTCATTTGCAAATAAAAATAGACACAAATTCAGCGATTGGATAGCACCAGACAGTAAGTCTACAACTGCAATCTTGCGCTTAAGAATAATTTCTGTTAAATATATTTTGACATTGTATCATTTAGGTGATATAACAATAACGAAACAAGCATATACGATTTTGGGTTATTTAGCATATGAGACAGTAGCACAAATCATAGATTTTGCGTTGTTAATAAGACAAGATCAAAATAAAATATATGGCGATGCTATAGATCGACTTAGATTTAATTATGTCAATCCATATACTTATAAACCATATTATCATGGCAAGGTTTGTAATATTTCTGTCATTCTGAAAGTGTAAAGTGATAAAAAAATGCGTTATATTTCTACTTTCTTTTTCAAATAATTAAACAGGTGGCAGTAACAAAACCAATAACACCTGCAGAAATAATTGAAGCTCTCAGACGGTATTGGTCACCTCAATTAGACATGACAGGCCCATTTAATCGTTGGTCCATGAGAAAGTCACACTTGAAACTTTTATCCTTGTAAAGTAAGTAAAGTGCGATAAGAATTAATTTACTTAAGGAAACAAACTATAAGATATATAAAGATATTCTTGGTATTTTACATCAATATTTGATTAAATGTTAGTCTTTGTACATTGAATTAGAATACAGAGATATTTTAAAATTGACCAATATTTATTGACAAGTTCCTGTACTTCTTATAGTTATATCTTAGATTCTAATATACACATGACATTGCTACATAAATTACTATTTCATTATTTTTTTTACAAACTCGTTCGATGATGTGTCTTATCAATTAACGCGACATTTATAAATATCTTACGTACCGCTTTTTTTACAATTATATTAATTCCTGTACATTTTACAATTGATAGTCCCTGATTCCATTTTAAAGATATGATTATAATATATTTAACTTGGTGCTAGACGTATTATACATTTATTTTTATTGTTTTACTCTGCATAAAATATTTGGATCTTTTCTTTTCTTACATATGAGCATGTATTTTGAGTATGTCCTTTTAAATAATTCAAACTTCATTATGCAACATAATGACTAAAAAGTTTCTTAATATCCATTGTTTTAAATAAGTCTCTACAAATTTGAGTTATCTACAAATTTGAGCTAATCTTAGAAATTTTACACAGATACTTCATGAATTCACACAGATACTAATTTTGCTTCTGTATCATGGTGAGAGCAACGTCGACACTCGTACTTTCCCTTCCGCGCCACCAGTTATACATGTTCCAGATTGATTGGCAGTAGACCAGTCACAACAAAGTGTACCTTTATGTCCGCCTAACTCTAAAATTTTTGCTTGTGCACCTGGCGGCATCTGGAAATTTATATTTTCAGTATATCAAAGTTCAAAACTAGAATATATTAAATTTTGTATTGTTAGACAGTAAAAATTATATATACTTTGTATATATTCCCTCCAGTTTGTGTACAAAGTAGCATATAGTTACCACTTTGATCAAAAGTAAACAATTTTCCATGAACTGTGTTTTTCTCTACTTTGATTTTCGTTTCCCACAGAATCTTCCCGGAATGATTCAAACTTCTTTGACACAGTTTTCCGTCCTCGCTTTGCGTACAGATATTTGTATAATCATTAATAAGTTCTATATCGATAACTGGACTCGCATGACAACTTATATTATCGATAATTTCATTTCGTCTCAAATCGTGTATTAAAATATTTCCATTGGATAATCCCGTGATAAGAAGCTGCCCGTTGTGATTAAACGCGGAACACAACGCAGTTACATTTTGTTCCATCGGTAAAGTTCTTTCCAATTTTCTCGTTTTGATATCGTACAATAACAATCTTCCTTCGTTTGAATCTGATACGGAACATACGAACGTGGATTCCGTCGGATTGCATAACAAAGTAATGATTCGAGAATTCTCGTGTTGAATATCCCATAAAGTTTTACAGTCACGAGTGTCATGCAATTGAATCAGGCCATTGTTATCACCGTGTAAAAAATAACGCTCATTCTTTGATATCCAGTCTAATGCTGTAATTGCTTTGTTTGAATTCGCTGGGGCAGAGATAAATGTAGTAACAGTCCTATTGAATAAAAAAAAGCAATATTACGCATATGCAAAATGTTAGTGCATGAAACGAATACTGTGAATTGAATTGAAATTACTTTGGTGAGGGTATTGGTGTCCATACTTTAATAATACCATCTGCATCGCCTGTAGCAACGTAAGAGCCACTTGCATTACTTTTACATTGAATTATTGACGTTTTGTGTTCCGTATATTCTTCCTAAAAATGAAATTCTTATTGTGAAAATTTCTAAAATATTTACTTATACATGGCTTTATATATATATGTATATATAAGTAATTTCTTACTTGACTAAGAAGAATATAAGTGGAATCGATTTTATCTTTAGCTTTCCGTTCAGCTACCGCATCAATAGACGAATCTCTTTTTCTAGAACTTGTTAATCTAGAATCACAGCTAATGCTTCTTTTGCTAACTGGTTCAGATTTGTTGACTGAATTTATTTTCCCCTTCGTATTGGTTCTTTTTGTCGACGACATTTCCGGCTCTATTACTTTCCTTATACTTGTCCCTGGTTTCCTACTTAAAATTGGACTAGAACCGCCACCTATATTTCTTATGAGATTCCTTAGTGTTTTAGGATTTTCTAATAAAGGAGATTCTCTGTTTGAACGGGAAGGAGAATGTTAATGAACAACATGGCGCGTTACATTATTAACGGTTTATCAAAAACGATAAATGAAAATATTTACTGTGCTATAATATAAAAATCATCCATAAGTGGTGGATGTTGAGGAGCTGGTCCTGGATTCACATCCATTACATTTTCTATTTTAACCGACTCGCTCAAACGTTGCCTTAACGCTTCATTTTCTTCTTGAAGCCGTTTCAATTTATTCGTATCCTCGTCTATCGCAAGTAACGTCGGTTGTGGCATACACTATAATTGGTGTGTATTAAAATTAATCTATATACTATATATAGTTAACTATGTAAATACAGTACTATTTCGTTCATATATTGTAAAGTTAAAATTTTCTACGATATTGAAATAGTAAAATTTGTAAATGAAAGGCACGATGCAAAATACCTTTCACCTACTTGAAAAATAGTAGCAAGGAAATTATGCAGAGACACTAACATAGTGTCCTGCCATTGTCTACTAAAATGTACAGAGTACGCTGGATTGTCTTCAGGATTTTTAACAAATGGCAATGCTGTAAAAAGTATAAAAACGGTAAAGTACAAAATACAGTTCTCTCTGTAGTTTTTGTTGATAAAATAATATCCTACCAAACCATTCTTTCCACTCTGAATGACCTTGTAACTCTGGCGTCATTTTGGTAAAAAATTCTTGAATACGATCTTGTTTATTATTCACCGCTGCATTGACCAGGTACATTTTTAGAACAGCATTTTCCAGCTTTCTTACGGCTGGTGTAAAATGACTCTCCAAACGTGAAAACATCCTTAGATCTAAATGTCCCCATAATTCTCTTAAAGATGTTAGATCATAGTTGTATATGTATTGCATCAATTGATCAACGATTTTATCAACCTGGCAAGAAAGAAAAAGGAAATAATAATAAAATATTGTTGGAATTAAAATTGCAACAAATGACAACACAAGTCTATCTGAAATTAAAAAATATAAATTATACATTAATATTTAAAAGAAGAAAAGAAAGTGAAAAAACTTAGAAGTTCAAGTTTCAATATTCTTTTATTATATAGTTTCTCGAACAGAATGAAATTCATAAGCATTGTTTACGAATATTTTGTCTCTCTCTATCTATCGTAATTTCTTGTACGCTCACCCTAAAACCTTTCTCTTTCTCGGCTTTTAAGTCATTGTCGAAAGCCTTCAACGTTTGGCTAAAACCTCTGAAGAGTAGATATTCTTTGACCAATTCGTCCACATACTGAATGTGAGACATTTTCTCTTGATTCTCTTCAAAATATCAACTTTCTCTTTTAATTGACAATCGTATGTTGTCATCCTTTGGCCATTTTGATGTTCGCTGAACATGCAGCGAATTTTCGTTTATTATCTGACAGTCAATGTTACCAATGGTATCATGTTTTCATTTATTACCATTATTCCGCGTTGTTATGGGGAATTTTATTTCAGACTCTGTGACACAAAATCTCACTTCATGTCTGATCTATTCTATGTTTAGTTAATGGTAGTATTGACAAACATCGATTGACAGAATCGTATAGTAACACAAGTAGTTCTAATTCAATTATAAAATGAAAGGTATTTTAATCTTTGATCACTTAAACGATGTTCTTTTTACGAAGTGTAATAAAAAATTTGCGAATCATATAGAAAAACTGGCTAAAATTCAAGGACTGATCTCTGAAAATAAGGTAGGCAAATTTTGCAAAAATTTTTATTTTAATTTAAATGTTTCTCCCTTGAAGTTTAGATTGGAATATTTTATAATGTTTCAATTTCTTAATTACACAAATATTTCGCTCAAAAAATAAAACTGCATACTTTTTGATAAATTTTAAATATTATACTTACAAAGACTTATACATAATATTACAAATTTATGTTTTATACAGGATATAGATAATGATGAATCAAAAGTAAATCCAAATATAATAATGCAATTGTTCTCACCCATTGTCACATCCCAACATGTAATGGCTTCTCAGTTTGGAAATTCTTACACTTCAATGAGATGTAACGATGGTACAACTATGGTTTTTGATGAATTTATGGGATACACGTTCATTTACATTTCCATGGATGAAGTAGAATTAATGAAAAGAACATTAGGGGTGTGTGTGGCAATCGTGAGACACGTTTGTGGTCCAGATGTTGCAGTGTAAATTAAAACATTATTTATAATTATTTATAATAAAGTTATTTCTGGAAGATAATTCTGTATAATATTATAGTAAATAATTTAATTTCAGACTAAAGGTAAACAAACAGAAAGCCTGTTTAGTTTCATCTTTGTTGAATGCATGGGTACATTTAAGAAATCACGAACAAAGTATGCTTACAGAAGCAATAGAACAACTATCAATAAACACAGACTTAGGTGTATCGATATTAAAAGTGTTGCATGATGCGTGTGACAAATTAAAGGCGCAGTCTGAATTTTCCAATGTACATATCTTGATACTAGTGGAGCAAAAATTTCTCTCATTGTACTCTAGTAAAAATGCCCATGACTTGTATGCTTCTGATATACTGCTAATGATGCTTATGTGTTGGGTAGTTAATCAGAGGAGAAAAGGAGATACCCAATCTGAAATAAATGATAATAATGACGATTGCACTGACATTCTTTTACCTGAAAACAGTTCTTGTAAAGAGGAACAGATAACTTTTGGATCGAAGCTTGCGAATCCTACTTCAGAAGACATTACAAATTTATTTAGTACGATCTTTAATATATAAGCTGTTACTAATTTTGTTGGTATTACGTGTTGATATTATGTTTCTTTATTATAGGAGGATCAAGAGAATCTTCCATTAACGAAGGTCTTTATTCATTAATGGACGACGATTTGTACAGTAATTTGATTTTACTTGGAACCGAGCATGATTACACTGCTAACGCGGTTCATATTTTTGAATTAGCAGATGGCATTAATCTCATAATGATAGTGGAAGTGACTAATCTTGCCACGTCATCAGGACTATACGATAGTTTCCATTATTTAAATATTATAAATCGGTTGCAACTTCAAAGAGACATCGATGAACTAAGACCGGCATTTGAAAATTTCGACTTAGCAATGAAAAAAACTTTAGATGGAATTAAAAAAAATAGAGCTAATGTCAGCAATGACGTTGATATGTGTCAGCGAAGATTACAAACAAAGTGGGAATTTGTTCGGAAAAAATATTTGGATTTATTAAAATCCAGAGACCCGGAATCCATTCTTCAAATTGAATCAAATACGTCCGGATTCACGGATAATTTAAAAGAATTATATCGATTGACATGTTTCGATAAAAATTTCTTAAAGCAAGGCGTTGATGTACTTACAACGGTAGGAAAGCTTGTTCGTCAAAAGCTGAATGATTTTAGCGATTTTCTTAAAGTGAAAGCGCTAAAGAATTTTACTCTTGGATCATATCCTTTCATAATTATACCTTCATGTATTTGTATTTTTTTTTAATTTTATTTTCCCTTATCAATTACATAAAAAATATACCTCCTTAATGCTATATAATCTACGAGAACTTCCCTAACCATCAACAAATATTTAGAAGAATTTCCAGGCCTTGTACATTTTATCTACATAGATAGGGTCACTCATAGACTGACTGCTCCAACATTAGATTTCACAAATCCTGAAACTCTTGCTCTTACAACGAAAAAGGTAATTTATTTAAAAGTTCAAACAACATTAACATAGAATAGTTAAGAATTACTTTTGTAGATATGGAATATGGTTAAACAAAGCAGAATGCATGTAGAAGAAGGACACTTATCAGTTATGTGGAAGGATACAACTTTTAATTATGCTTACTTCTTGTGGTTTGAAGATAGTTCTGTAAGTAAATAATTTTAAGATAACAAGCATATGTCATTATATGATATTTTGCAGGGATCGCCATTAAAATGTAATGTTTATTTGAATCATATAATGAAAAATTTTCCAGTGCCTGGCATATTTTGTGGTGATTACTACAGGTTTGTATTGTAAATGGTACTTCAACGTTTGCCTTAAATGAATTCTTATTTAATTTGTTTTATAATTTCATAGAAAATTAGCGGATGCGTGTTTCCCTAAGCTATCTGTCAATAAAATTAGAATTTATGAACTTTACTGCGTCCATCTTGGTTTAGCAACATCGTCATGTGTATTAGAGCATTCAAGAAGACTTGCGGCTACGATATGGGAGGTCACAGGTGTTCCAAATAATCCAGCTGACATACTGTAATAATTCTTTTGAATACTTATATACAGATAAAAGTTTCGCGCTTACACGCAAATATCTTGTACTACAATTATTTAAAAAGAAAAGAACTATTTATGAAATTTTTAATTATTTACAAGTGCTTAATATATGTATTAATTTGTTATTTATAAAAGATAATGATGCAAAACATTTGTATTTATTTTATACGTTAAATACGTAGTGTAATGGCACAATTTAAAGAAACTTATCATATATAAAAAAGAAAGAAAGAAAGAAAAAGACATATTGTATACTTCTTTCTGAATTTCATAGTTAATTCAAGAGCATAGAGCAGTGTTTGAGAGGATATTGGATATATTATTAAAATAGTATAAAAAAGCGGTAATGCGAATAATACTTTTTAAATATAGAACATCCAGAAAAAACGCATGTTAAAAACTATTCGGTATTTCAGTCTATGATGCCTCTCCGCTTATAATGCACAGATTCAATACTATGAACATGACGCATACCGTCTTTTCTTTATACCTTTGTAAGATTAAAATTTCCTAGAAATAGACCAGTCTTGCACATAGTACAAATATGGTCCATTTTAAAATATATAAATATTTACATTATATACGCGTGTAGCATCAGTGCTCGTAGCGTCAATTAAAATCTTGATTAATTTGTTTTCCGTTTCTGTAGAAAATGTTCTACAACTTTAAGTATATCATTATAGAATTTTCGAAGTAAACTAAAAATACGGGAAGTGCTTTTATTCAATGGTTATCTGTTGCATCCGATTTACGTACTGGGTCTACTTTTTTCTTTGTGACTTGATTATAAGACGTTTGAAAGGAAGCATTTTGTACACTATTTGCCTCAGATGACTCTAGGCCTGAGGTCCTTCTAGCTTTTTTCAGTGAATTGTCGTGCGTCGATTTGCCTCTACCTCTTCCAACACCACATACGTTCGTTTCACCTTTACAAATCGATTCTTTCACAATTTCCGAATCCATATTAGAGAAACGTCTGTTCTTACTCAACACATTTTCTGTAATATTGACTTTCATTTCCGAAATTGAATTTATAGACGGTTCCTGACTCGGACTATTCACTATATTTGTACTCGATCTTCTGGATTTATTTTGATCAATGTGCTTATCAATGTATGTTGCTGAATTCTTCGGTTTATGAGCAGCCATTGTTTGACTCTAAAACAAAATAATACTTGAGTGAATTTTATGAAAATATGCAGAAAATAGAGTATATTGCAGTACACATACAAGTGCAATAGAATGGTCCTTATTTGTCCGAAATTCTTGATAAATATCATCTGAAGATTCACTTCTAGATAGAGATATTTTTCCTGATTTTTGTCTTCCATCAGCAAATTCATCTTTTTCAATTTCACAGGATTGAGTTATTTGAATTTTTTTTTTTAAATTATCATTGGCCTTTTTCTTTTTGTTAAGCATAAATTCTTTAATTTGTCTTTCAAGCTCTGCTACTTCAAGATCAGATTTACACAAGTCTGGTATTAATTGACTCAGATGCTCCTCAGCTGCTTTTTGTATAGCAATAGCTGACTCAACTGCAGATGTCTTTGTTAGATCTAAACTAAAAATAAATAATTTCAAGTAATGATAATGAGGAATATTTTTTTTATGGGACAAAAAATTAGAGTCAAATCTTTACAAGATCACATCCAAACTTACTTCAAAGATTCTATAAAACTAGTAAATACATCTGGTGCATCAGAGGATTTTTTGGTAGGAGTAGGTTTATAATCTAAACCTTCCTGCGCAAATGAATTACTTCCTAAGTTACTTATTCTTAAAGGAACTGGTTCAAATATTCTGAAATAATCAGATTATTTATAAAAATAAAATACTTAAATAAAAGCATTGTACAGGAATTATTCTATTGCAATACTCACTCTCTGTTTTGTTTTAAAAAAACATGTTTAAACTTATAAGTTCCTTTTTCACTGCTTGTTGAGGAACTTAATAAACAGGTAACAAAAAATTCTTCTTTGGAACCATTTTCATTGCAAAAGTGCGACGCAAACTGTTTATGCAATAATTTATCCCTGAACGTAGGTACCAATCCTACGTTTCTCCTGAAACGAAACCAACCTATCACTTGTTTGCTGGTATCACGTAAAAAATCCTTTAACTTTTCCTTATTAATTTTGCCAATGGAATTGTGTAAAGAATTTGGTAGTGGACAAGTTACAACAGCTTCAATATCTAAAAATGACAAAATATTATTGTAAAGAGGAAGAATCTGTATCAAACAAAACAACTGACTACACACTTACTGTTGTATATTTTCACTGTTTCTACTTGATTGTCCAAATCTGAGTACGATTTTATAACAAATTCAACTGTTTCCCCTAGTAAAAAGCCCATCTAGAATACGGAAAATTCAACGTTTTCAATTTCCTTGTTCAGTAGGTTAGATCATTTTGAGGTTAAAATGCTAGATTTTATAATTTAAATGCGAATCATCACGTTAAGTGATAAAGTATTATTAGCAACAAATGAGGAAAATACATTCTTACCTGGTCCCCGGTGCTGCGAACATTTTCATAAAACAATAATGACAGAGCGGGACCTGAAATTGTAATGAGAAAATCACTATCCGCCATGTTGACAATTAACCGTTGTCCGTTTTGCAATTTCGCTTGCACTTTCTATCGTTACGCTTTTTGGTTTTGCCGCATTATACGCGTATCTGCAACAATAATTCACCTTATTCTTTTACTGAAACATCTGAATTATCTGGATTATTAGAAATCTGAAAATGTTCTACAACGATGTTTCTTTTATAAAATTGTTACGATCGTCAGTTCGCGCGTTGATATTAAAATAGTTTTACAATGTTTATATTTATTATATCACTACACTGTCTATTTTTTACTACAATAATTTAATTACAATATTGTAATTACTGGTTATATATGAGTGGAATAATTTATAAATGAAATAAATGAGTGTGAAATAAAAATGCTGAAGAAAAGATTCGCAGTATAAATCTCGATCGAAACGAGAGGGTCATTCCAATCAAAAACTGAGGATCGAATAAAGATCGAAATAAGTGAATCATGTTGTACTTATTTTATACGAAAAAGTCTAAATATTCATTTATTTCTATCTGATTCTTTTATCAAAAATTTTTTTGAATATATATGTACATCGTGTGTAGTATTCTTAGCTTGAACGCAAAATCTGCATAGATTAAAAAATTAGTCACAGTGATTACATGTATACGTCTGGCAAAACCAGAACCAAGAAAATTTCTTTTCGAAATAAAAATACAATTCTTCCAATTTTCCGCGAATGTAAAATAAAATGATATATAATACTGAAGCTCTTTGCTATTTGCTTCAGCATCTATCTAGTAACTGGATCTTGCACGACAAATAAATAAAATACTTCTTTAATTTGACATGAATTAATCAGTAATTTTAATTAAATAGTGATTTCAGGTGTGTAAAAGATAATTTGTCAGGAGTGGGATTCGAACCCACGCCCACAGAGTGGACTGCGACCTGAACGCAGCGCCTTAGACCGCTCGGCCATCCTGACATTGTTCGTTCACCAATTTTGTGTTCAGAAAACTACCAAATAATCATAATGACTTAAAATAAAATTTCTGCCTAGAAAAGAAAAGTTGCACAATCGAAAACAACTAATTTATTTAAAGTCGTATTTTCTCCTCATCATATTTGGGTTTTTAATTATCAATATCCTTTGAAGATGTGATAATTAATGGCGAAACTATGGAAGTTTTTACGAGATGAACGTTCTTTCATAAATGACAGTACTCTCTTTCAGTCACCAAGCGAAAGAAAGGAATATGAAATAGATTTTGATGATTGGATTTTTATGCAAATTCATATTTTTGAGACTATAAATTAAAAAATTGGAACATTGCACGTATGAAATATATATGCACTTGCTTATTAAAATATTCAAAAGCATACAAAAGCGAATGTATTAACTGTTATTATTATTATATTGGTCAAATTTGAAACATAAATGTAAAAATGTATATATTTAGGAATTACAAGATATTAATATACATTTCATAGAAATCACAGAAATATTTAAACAGATAAGCTCTTAATATTCAGATAGTCTTCAATACTTATTGTATGTTCAAGATAATTATTCATCCCATACTGCATAATTTTCTTACTAAATGTATGTTTGTAATAAGTATCTTCTAACTTCTCTTGGAATTCTATTTGTATTGTAAATTTTGTATCGGTGTATATTTGTAATAAATGCTTTGCATATTCGCGAGATGCTTGTGTAATCACGAAAGTATTCGAACACTTATAGGTATGTACGTATTACATGTTATGTTATGTGTATTAAAAGTTACAAAACACTTATCGCGAACATATATTTAAAAAAGGAACAGTACATAGTATGAATAGCCATCTTAAACGTATAATAAAAAAATGAAGATTGTTCAAGTACTTTTGTGATGTCTAAGACGTATATATCCGCTCGTATTAAATATT